CGGGGAAAAGGGGGTTGAGCTTTCTGGGAAAAACAATGAATATGTATGTATAGCTTGCCTATAAGAATCCCTGCTTAACAGGAACAGTTTTGCTGTTGAGTCCATTTCCCCATTTCTAACTAGCCAAACTGAAAAGAGTATGGGTGCTTCCTAAAGAATCTGAAATAGAGTACGTATGGCTTGTATCCCTAAACGGGGGGGGGGGAAAAAGTTCAGCTACATGAACAGGAAGCTAGTGTTTATTGGGGCCATGGAGTTTTCTTAACAGCATGAGATAAACCTGCCTTATGGTCCCTGACCCAGTGGGCTGCTTATTGGGCTGGAGGGTTGAACCCTTTAGACAGAGAGGATCCCCCAGCCATCACTGTCATGGCTGATCAATTGCTAGAAAACGTACACAAAGCAGCCTGCTTGCAAACCATATGTGAAAGCAAATTAATTTCTGGACATGAATTCCCAATGAATTCTGAAATCATGACTCCCTTAATAAGGGGACTTCCAGAGTCACTTAAATCTACAGGGATTGATCCTCAAAGGACCATTGCGTCAATGGGACCCATAGAAAGGCTGGAGAGTTTTATGAGAAGTCAGGGAAACATAATGTTTCTGTGGATTCAGTTTTTAATTCCTGCTTCAGTCCCTCCCAGTCAGGTAATAAAGTAGTGTGGACATGGGTGGAGTTAGGACAAGAACTGATAAATTATAGTAGACAATATGGTCCTGTAAAAATCCCAGAAGAAAAATGAAGAGGAATCCATCAAGTTGGAGGTAGGATCTTACCCCCCTACCTGTAAAACTGTGTCTGCCACTGCTGACCACCCTCATTTTAAAACAGAGAGAGGAGGACAGTTCATGAACTGACAACAATGGTGGCTTTTGGGAATTAAAAAGGAGTTCCCAGGGATGTAACAGATGGCTTGCCCCTTGATAAGGTGAGTAAACTGGTGTCAAAATGGTACAATCTAAAACAACACTCACAGTTCAGGAAAAAAATTTTACCTGCCATTGCCCCTGCCCACACCCCAAGAACACAGGCTGTGTGCAAAGAGAAGTTTTTCCCCAGGAGCAGGGAAACTAGAACCTCCATTCCCCAGTAGTGGGCAGAGGGATGGATTTATATCCAACAGCTCACTAAGACTAATTGCAGAGATTTAGTGATTATAGCTATTGTGGGTCCTAAGTGTGCACCAGTGAACTTTTTATTGGATACGGGTGCACAGATTTCCACACTGACTGAGGAAGATGCACAGAGGTAATGGGGTCGCTCCCTCAAAGCAATGTTTTCATGTCCTGAATACTCCAGGGTCAACAGAGGTTATGAATGTTGCTGAGGTAAAGCTAACGTTGCCAGGGGAGGAAAACATGATTTCTGTTGTAATGGTGATTGGGAACATCCTAAAAAACTTGCTATGGATGAGTGGCCTTGAGGGAAGACAGTGGGAGGATTCAGAAAGATTGTTGTGGACTTTTGGAACACTGCAATTAAACATCACACTGCTTCCGACTGCACACCTTTTGCCATTTTTGGGAATATGGTGGAAGGGGGGATGACACATATCCCACCAGACAACCTCACTTCCTTAGATCAGATTAAAATGCCCAAGTCAAAATAAGATCTGCAGCGTGCTTTAGGATTATTTGTGTTCTGGAGAAAATACATCCCAGATTTTTCTATCATTGCTAGGCCTCTTTATGGTTTGCTAAGAAAAGGGGTAGAATGGGAATGGTCTGCTTCTCAGGAAGAAGCTATGCAACTGTAATTTTCGAAGCAACAGCCCACCAAGCCCTCAGTCCTATCCACTCTACAGACCCTTTTTGTTTTTTCTCTGGTGGAGGTTTGCCTCATACAGGTTGTCAGTACACACCTATGGCAACAGGGCCCTGAGGGTCCAACCTGACCCATAGGATTTTACTCCTGTGGCTTTAGAGATGCTGAGAGAAGATACACTGCTTGGGAGAAGGGACTGTTACTTAACTGTGGTTAGCCTGGCTTTCATAGAAGTAGACAAAATCTCACAACAACAGCCAATCATATTAAAAGGCCCATTCAAAGTTCTAAAAATAGTCACTACTGGAACCCCAGCCCCTGACAGGGTGGCCCAGAGAGCCTCAGTACAAAAGTGGTGTGCACAGATTGAACATTATTGTAATATCTTCTCAATAACTGAAGAAGCTTTAAGAAACCTGGCTATACAAGAAATGGAGAGCCTGGATGGCAGCCAAGATAAATCCACCTCAGTCATTGGGTTGGCCCCTCCTTTTTCCCCAAATCAGTAATGGCTTGTGGGATGCCTGACAGGTAGATTATATCAGCCCCTTTAAGAAATCATGAGGAAAACATTTTGTGGTGGTAGGACCAGAGATAACATCAGCACTAGTCCAAGGTGAAGCCTTTAACAGGGCTACAGGAGACACTATCAGACACTATCATAAACGCATTTTACAGGTAAATCATAAAACCTGTAGCATCCTTGGATGTAACCCATCAGGCCCCATAGATCTGTGTATGTCCAGGTGAGGCAGAAGATCTCCAGCCACTTCCTCTTGTATTATGGAGGCCACATCCCATCCCTGCCTTCCAGCTGAAGGGGCTGGCTACCCAGCAAACAGCTGCTCCTGCTGTTAAAGACTGAGGCAAAGAAGACATTCAGTACCTCAGCCTTTCCCCTGTCCTCGGTCACTGTGTTTCCCCTGCATCTACTAAAGGATGAAGAGTCTTCCTAAACCTCCTTTGATTGTTGATGTACTTATAGAACCCTTTTTTGTTGTCCTTTACAGCAATGGCCAGATTGAGCCCTAGCTGGGCTTTGGCCCTTCTGATTTCTCCCTACATATCCTCACCACATCCTGATAACCCTCCCAAGTGGTCTGCCCCCTTTTCCAAAGGCTATAGACTCTCCTTTTGTTCCTAACTTCCAGCCAAAGCTCTCTATTCTTCCAGGCCAGTCTTCTTCCCTGCCTGCACCC